CCTGCAAAGGATGCTTATAGTAGCACTTACAGCCTCAACACCATCATCTTTAGCTTTAGCCATGGATAGATCAACATGAAACACAACAAATGAGTCAAAATTAACAAAATATCATTTGTCACTTCAAATGGAAAGGCAGGAATTCATTTCACAAATTGTCTGAGCAGATTAAGTGTACAAACACATAGATGTAGATCCCAGTTTAGTGCATTTGCAAGGAGTCAAAGGGCATCCAACAAACAAATTAACAACTTCACTGGAAACTCAAAAGGACCTAGAAGGCTAGAAGCTCAATATACTAGTGCGTTTAGCAACAAAATATGCATTAACACAAAGACAATCAACAATTACAATTGTTTCCATAGTCAAACAAGGACAAACATATGATCTGTGTTGACATAAATACAAGTTTTCTCAACATAATTGCACATGAAAAACACCATAATTGCAGTAATTCAAGTGCGCAATTTACTACTTATAAATGTGCAATCAAGAAATGGATACTAGCCACTAAGATGCAAATCAGGAGCAGCAGTTTCAGACAAAGGATAGCCTTTTGATTTACAGGGAATAGCTTTGGGGACTGAAACATGCAAATCAGGACAAGAAACAGTTTGGACATTTTTCACACCACCTAAGTTTAGGTTGTCATTGGACCGAAAACAAATAGAAAAAAATGGAAAAATATAAATACTTTTAATCATAGCAACAATCATTTCAAAAGCAAGGAGACAAATCATGCAACTTAGATTATTCTATTTCAGATAATCGATGAGTTACATAATGACAAAAATGATTACCAGATTTACAAATCCTAGAATGTTGGGCAAAACAGCATTTATAGGGAAGATTTTCAGAACGAAATTTACAGGAAGATATTTTCTATTTGAACACAGCTTTATTTCCTTTTTTTTGTTATAACTAAACTAAACACAACTTTCTTGTACAGTATATGGTATGCAACACCAACTACAAGTGTACATCTTCCATAGAGCTACATCAGCTACCTGCCACGCAGGGCTATAGATGACCTGCAGTTGTATGCACATTTCTTGCTACCGTTACCTTTTACATGCTGACACCAGAATTCAGAACTCAGTCAACTCACTATCATCACAGAGACAATACCACTGAAAAGGTCATTGCCAATACCACTGCGTCTAGAAAAATATCGGAGGGAAGGAGTGGTGCCCCACACGCAAAGTGAAAAAGGCCTGCTGTCTCATCTTCAGGGCAACGGAAAAAAATGAAAAAAAAAAACAAATGCTATCAGACAAAGCAACGGACAAAGCAACCAAACTAGCTCTACAGACCCCTACCCCGATCATTGGTTCTCTAGATTTAGTTAGCACAAACTGATGGAATACAGGTTCAGACTAGAAAGAACAAAACACCTGCGAGTCCAGTTTTACGATATTTGGAATTGTATGCTCCTCACCCAAAGAAACTTGATTCCAGTGACACCACTAGCAAATACATATAGAGAACTTTAAAAACTTCAATGAATGCACGAGAGCCTTGGCGATGGCATTAGTAATTCTTTGCCACCAAATTTCAAATTAGATTGGGATTCACCTGTTGCTTCTGGCTAACGCAATTCGCTTCACTACTTGCAGCTGGTGAACTTCCGACTGGAAGAGGGCTACAGCGAGACAACACTAACTGAACAAAAACACAACCAATTGAACAAATCGACACCACATCAGGAAAGGGGGTCGAATAAATCAAGCAACAGATGAGGAACATAGATCAAGGGGCTAATCTAACAAGATGACTTTATGGAGTATCTTCATATACATTAACATTTCTCTATTTGTTCTTTTTTCTAGTGTTTAAAATGACAAGCTACAAAAGCCGGTAAAGTACAATCAAAACATGGCATATCGCCCTAATCTAATCTCGCAACTCACCTCACTTTGAAAGTCACAAATCCAGTGCGGGGTTCCTGCTATCACTTTGAGCCGTTGATGAGCAAGTGATGATCCAGATTTGCCTCCCAAGACCTTTCGGATGCCATCCTCCATCCTCGTCACTTTCCTAGAATAACCGAGCTTCTCAACACAACAAAATAGAGCGGATCGGGAGACATTCAAAAAATGGGCGGATCCACCATCGTTCAGTGCACGAGAACCAAATGGATCATACCTTCCTAAAAATCAGAACTAACACAAATCATCGAGAATCGCATTTAACAAGGAGCCAAACCGAAACCGGGGGCACAAATCGCATAGGCGCGAGGACAGGGCACCAAACCTCGAATCTCAGGGCCATGCGCGCAAAGCAGCATCTCGAGCTCGAGATGGTGGGCGCGCAAGCGAGGCTTCGATTCGGTGAGGGGGAGATGAGGAGGCGGCGGGGCGGTCGGGGCGGGCGGTCTGCCGGAAGATCGCCGCAACGCCACACGGAGAGTGCCTCCTCTCCGCTTCCTCTCCTGGACAACGACGGCGACCGCTAGTCGTGAGAGCAACGGCACGAGGGAGGAGTCTCCGCGACGGAGCTAGAGCGGAGGCTGCACGAGCTCCAGCACGGGCGGGATAGGGAGCGGATCGAGGCGCTGGAGTCGGCGCACGCAGCGGAAGCTGACGGAGAAGGAGATGGAGGCGCGGCTGTGGCAGGACACGGCCACACTGGCGCTGGGTACCCGCCGTGTCCTGGCATGTTGGTGTTAGCAAACAAATCCAAACAAAACAGTAGGAAGCAAACAACGAAGATTCACTAAGAGTAGGAAACAAAAGCAACCTACCTCGCCAAACCCTAAATCGCCAGTCGCCGCCGTGGGGAATAGGGAGTCGCTAGGAGGAAGACAACACGAAATGAGAATGGCGAAAGAGGGGAACGGACACACAACTCCGAGCGTGACTCCCAAAAATCAAACAGTGGCGCCGACATCCAGACTCCACATGACGGAGACACAAAGACAGACAGAAAACCAGCGCAGATCGGACGCTCCATTCTTCATCCTACGGCCAGAAAATTAATATGCCAACAAACCACAGAACACACATGTGTCCTGTAGCATTATTGAAATAGGAAGGTGGGTTGCCCACGGCAGCGATACCGAGAGGTGGTTAGCACAGCTCCAGCTCGAAGATGGACATTGGATTTGGAGTGTAAGATAAAAAAAACAAAACGAAAGGGTTTAACCACATGCGTGTTACTAATTTGAAATAGAAAACAAATCTGTCAGAGTGCCGATCGATAGCTTGGTGGAGCAAGTGGCGCGAAGGCGTCAGCGTCGCCATCGTGCTTTGCGGTGGTACTGGAGAGAGACGAAAGGGAGAAAGACACGCAGCAAGCAAGCGATGACAGAAGCGGGAGCCCTCGTCTTCACTCCTAACGAACGAGATAAAAATCTGAGGCCACGTAAGTACGTGCTTATCTGCGACTTGTGTAATGTAAAGAGGGATAAACATGCGTCCGTCATCACAGTGGACTACAGGAGGTAGGGCCCTAACAGGAGGATTACCCTCACTGATGATGCCAGGCAGTATCCACCACAGCGTTGTCGTGTTGCGCAACAGCTGGACTTGGGCCACGGGCCAAGGGAGTAGTATACGTATGAGATTTTTTTTTTCCTTTTTCCAACTTGTTGGGTATTCTGGGTGGAAAGGGGGACTAGGGAAAAAGGTGTATATGATCCGCCCACTTGCCGGTCCACCAGTATGGCACCTGATTGAGTACAGGTCATGGGGCAAAAGCAGGCACTGTTTCATGAATAGTGAGTGGGTCATGAACTCATAATGTGCTGTGCAGGAATTTTTATTCGCATGAAAAAGAGGGTCTGCCCCTTTTTTTATGAAAAAGAGGTGCGGAGAGGAGAAGAAAGATACAAAGTCACGCTTAGTTTGGCATTTTGGAGTGGAAAGGGCTGTGCTTCGAATTTTTCCTTGCAAAAAATGCGTGTTTGGTTTAATTGGAGCGGAACTGTTCTCATCAAAGTATGGTATAGCAGCAAGCAACTGCAGCAGCTGCACAGGGCAAGCTGCCAAAGGAGTGGCGGGGCACAAGCCACATAGGCTTGACGTGGAAACCATTGTCCTACGCAATAAGAAATTTATTTACTTACCGTCGAACACACTTGAAAGTGAAGCAAATTTGCAGCCAAAATCAGGCGGATCAATTTTTGAGCTGTGCAAGAAACTGATCTACGTGTAACAGCAAGCCAAAGCTGCACCGCTCCATCTGGTCCAGTAAGAATGGGAGGGACAAAATCGAAATTAGGCTTGGTGCTAGTAGTAGCTTTGGCTTCAGTGGTTCATCTCGAAAAGGAAGGCATAACCGGGTGACCGACCTATTGTGGCCACGCTAGCAACGGTTTGAACGGCTTCAAAACGTTGATTCCTGTCTCCCTTTCGCCTAGTATCCTAGTCAGAGCTTTTCAGTTTCCAAGGCCTCCGGACTTTACACGCCAGCATCGGAATCAGGCGATTAGTCCATACTACTGCATCCAGAGACCAGAATAGCTTTTTTTTAATATAAAAAGAAGAAAATGGACCATTTGGTGTGAGATGAATGAATGGGCCGATGGGCGCAGAAACCATTGCATGGACCCAGACTATCGCAGGCCTGCTAATGGTGAGACACGGAAGGAATTCCGACACGGAATTGGATTTCAGAGACACGGAAGACAAAAGGAAAAAAAAGAAAAGCCCAGACTCACATGAGATTCGGCCCCGCCACCTCCGGCAAACAGCGGCCGATCCAACGGCAGGGCGTCCACAACCTCGTACATATCGCCGCGCGGAAGCGGCGCAACCGCGCAAGCCCGACACCCTCACACAGGTGTCTCGCGGCCCCGGACACGAGTCCCGCATGCGTCCCACGCGGCCGCGCCAGGTCCCGCCTCCGCGCATCCCCACGCCCTCTATAAACCCCCGCTCTCCCTGGACCTCGTCCACCTCACTCGTAGTCGATCGTAGCATCAGTGGCAGCGGTAGTAGGCGCTCTGGGCAGTGTGCGCACGTGGTACCTACCTCGCTCTGCTAAGCTAGCAGCTTGCCATGGCTGATCACCACCGGGGCGGGACGGGAGGTGGCGGGGGCTACGGCGACCAGCATCGCGGGGGCGGCATGCATGGCGAGGCGCAGCAGCAGCAGCAGGGCGCCATGATGACGGCGCTCAAGGCCGCGACGGCCGCGACATTCGGCGGGTCGATGCTGGTGCTGTCCGGGCTGATCCTGGCCGGCACCGTGATCGCGCTCACGGTGGCCACCCCCGTGCTGGTGATCTTCAGCCCGGTGCTGGTGCCGGCCGCCATCGCGCTGGCGCTCATGGCGGCCGGGTTCGTCACCTCCGGCGGCCTCGGCGTCGCCGCGCTGTCCGTGTTCTCCTGGATGTACAAGTACCTGACGGGCAAGCACCCGCCGGGCGCCGACCAGCTGGACCACGCCAAGGCGAGGCTGGCGTCCAAGGCCCGCGACATCAAGGACGCAGCGCAGCACCGCATCGACCAGGCGCAGGGGTCTTGAGCTGCACGCGAGAGCGGACCGCGTGTCCTGCTCCTGGATACCGCGCGCGGGGTGGCGTACGGCGGCGGCGCGCGACCACCGCCGGCGTGGCATGGCCCTACGGGTGCTGCTGCTACGTACCTACGCTGCCGTAGAGTATCGGTCGCCGTGCTAGCTCTAGCTAGTCGTCGTTATGTGTTGTGCTTTATTTGTATGTGCATGTGTGTCTGGTTGGGACATGCAGTGTAGTATGCTGTATGCGTCTTTCTTGATCGGAGTGACGGATGTACCGCATGCTCGATGTCTAGTTTGGATGTCATGTTTATGATGATGAGGAATAAAATGCAGTGTTCAAGCGAGATGCTACGGTTTCCCGGACTACCATGCGATTTGGAGATTTCTTTGGCTCTTTGCAACGATAACCTCGCTCATGATACCATCGATCGGTATCGGTATGAAAAGAGGGCATGGGCTCACCTGACAAAGTGCTCTTGTGGGCTTGTGGCCATACATGAGGTCATAGCCTCACCTGACATGTGCTCTCGTGGGCCTGGCTTGTGGCCATACATGAATATCGTGAGATCGTTTAGGGCTCCCATGGGCTAACAACTGATTCAGCGCTAATGGATGGTTTAAAGTTTAGCCAACGTCTTAACATTATCCTTTAGCCAAAGCCTCAACTTATTAGTTCACTAAGTTAATCCTTCAAACCCAGCTGATTAAGTCTTAACACAGCTCATGCTCAGCCATAGCTATTTTGTGTTCCAGGGGACTCGAATCTTACTAGTAGAAATCCAATATTCCAAATTAAAATTGTTGCCACTGTTATTCTTACATTTAAAATATTCCAAGGGCCGGATAATATACCTAGTCAGTTTATGACCAACTGATGAAGTTATGGCAAAACCATGGACAATGTCACATACCACAGCAGCAAAAACCAATCATATCCTATCCAGCTGCATGTGTTTGCCTCTTTTGCCTTTTGATAAGGCCTTCCATCAAAGTGATATAGGTTGAACTGTCAACAGACATGCCCCTTTGCATCATCTCATCCAAAACAGCCTTGGCTTCTTTCAGTTGCCCACCAATGCAGAGTTCATTTACAGATTTATTATAGCTCTCCTGATCACCACCAGATTTAACCTCTGGGCCCTTCCCTGTCTCCACTTCCTCCACAGAAGATTTCATGGAAGGATAAGAAAATCTTTCATATAATTTTCCGCTCTCCTCCAATTTATGCAACATATTATGTGCTTCCTCTGGTCGCCCTGCCTCAGATAGTGCAGACAACACAACATTGTATGTAAATGCATCAGGCTGCAAGCCTCTGACCTCCATGTCAGCAAAGAAACACAAAGCTGTATCGACATCGCCATGTTTGCACAAAGCTTGAATTAAGGTGTTATATGTGATAACATCAACCTTCTTCCCTTTCTCTACCCATGACTCGAAAAGCTTCATCGCTTTCTCAAGCTTGCCATACAGACAAAGCCCATTCATTAAAGTGTTGCAGGTAACAACATCTGGCTTAAAGGAATTTTCCACCATCTTGTTGTGGAACTGGAAAGCTTTCTCCAAGTCCCCTTCCTTACAGTAGGCATGGATGATGATATTGTATGTGGTGTCGTCTGGTACCAACCCATTCTCCATCAGCTCATTCAATTTATCAATTGCCTGTGTCAACTTCCCCATTGTAGAAAGCCCTTTGATCAATGTGTTGTAAGTAGAAATACTTGGCGTTAACTTCCTCTTGACCATTTCATCCCACAGACGCAGAGCAGGCTCTGGATTAGACTCCTTAAAGTAGGCTGCCATCACTGTACCATAACTGACTTCGTTAGGTACAAAACCCTTCTGTGGCGGTGAATGCAAGAGCTCCTCAGCCTCTTCATAACGCTTCTCTTTGCATAGGTTGTACAGCAAAGTGTTTAGGGTGAAAGTGTCCATTGTGAGTCCCCTTCCCACCATCTCATCCATCAACAAGAATGCTTTTGCAACATTGCCGGCTTTGCAGTATGCATCAATTAATGTATTGTGTGTAATCACATCTGGTGCCAGCCCCTCCGCTGCCATCATTTTCAGACGCCCTAATGCTTCTTCCAATTGCCCCTCGCAGCAGAGCCCCTTCACAACAATGTTATGTGTGACCAAACTTGCCTTCACCCCTTTGTCACGCATTTCCTCAAGCAGATTCAGTGCATCACAAGAGCGCTGACACTTGAAGCATGCATCAACAAGCGTATTGTAGGTAACTACGTCAGGCGATACTATGCCAAGCCGCTCCATCTCATCCTTCAGCTGGGACTGTTTGGTTCCTACCCTGGAACCAAACTGCCTCGGCGAAGAGGTTCCTGGAACCTGCTTGTGATCCGTTTGGTTGAAGGACTGAGATGGTGCCAGCCCAGGCAACGCTGTCCAGGCCCAGGCGAGCAAAAGAGGTCGCCTGGCTGGGGGCGACGCTTCCTGAAGCATTTAACTGTGATTAATTATTTCCTATATGGTCCTCAAAAGCACAACGTTGATGCATTTGCTTCTCCGTATTAATTTACATTTTGACATTATCATAGTTAATTTCATTAACAGTAACAGTACTGTAGAACTGACATTTCTTATAGCTCACTGAATTTAAATTGGTAAAGCATAATATTAACCTTTATAAAATAGTTTTTCTAAATTGTTAATTTTAATCATATGTAAAGTAAGAAAAATGCACTCATCTATTTTATTTTATTACCATATGTTTATTCGTGTGTCTAGTTAAGGTATTACTGATTAAGAAAATAAATTGATTGCTTCTTCATTAGACAAGAAAACATTCATTATTTATTTGTTAGCTTTTTCACGCCAGTCTTTCAACCAAACAGTCAACTTCCAGCTTGCCTGCCAGGCAATTTTTTTCAAATTTTCAGACAACTCTCGTGCACTTTTTACTAGGCCGACCAAACATGGCCCTAAATGGCTCCGTTCGCTTGTCTTAAATTTTGGCTTACTCGGCTTGTTTTTTCAGCCGGAACAGTGTTTTTCTCTCACAACAATTCAGTCGGAACAGTGTTTTTTAGCCAGTTTCAGCCAAAATTCAGACCAGCGAACGGGCAATGCCTCGTCCACCTTCCCTGCCTGGCACAGCCCTGCAGCGAGCACATTGTACGTCCACAGGTCAGCCTCCAAACCGAATGCCGTCATGGCCTCCACGACATTGGTCGCCTGCTTGATCCACCCAAGTCTCGCATACGCTGAGACGAGGGTATTATACGTGGCCCTGGTGGGCGCGATACCCTCCTTCTTCATCCTGGCCAGCAGTGCCCGCGCCTGCGACAATGAGCGTTGAGGAGGGTGTTGTAGGTGACGACGTCTGGGGAGAGGCCGAAACCCTGCATGGTGGAGAGCGTGGAGAGAGCGTCGGCGAGGGTGCCCTTGGAGCAGTGGGTGTGGTGTGGACCAGGAGGTTGAAGGTGTAGTGATTTGGGTGGAGCTGCAGCGCAATGAGGGAGCGGAAGGCGTCGAGAGAGACCTGCGGCGAGGTGGACGGACTGCGCGCAAGTGCGGAGAGCACGGCGTTGGCTGCCTGGAGGGAGGGGCGGACGGGGCCGCGGCGGCGGAGGGAGTGGAGGAGTTGTGCGGCGAGGTGGGGGTGGCGGAGGCGGGCGTAGGCGGAGAGCGCGGCGTCGGCGAGCGCACTCGTGGGGAGGCTGGCGAGGAGGTGGCGGTGGAGGTGGCGCAGCGGGTCGAGCGGGACGAAGTCGAGGAGCAGCGGGAGGAGATTGCGGTAGGGGAGCATGGGGAGGAGCGGGAGTAAGGAGGGGAGGCAGGACGGAGGGGAGACGAGGCGGCGGTAGGCGAGGAGAGTGTGCGGAGAGGCGAGCGCTGGGTCGGCGGCGGCAAGGGCGATCACTTGCGGGTGGTGCGAGGCGCCGAGGCGCGGGAGGTACGGGGCCAGGAGGGTGTCCATGGGCGGCGGCGAGGGCAGGCGGGAGGCAGAAACAAGCGCGCCCGCCACGGCCGAGACAAGCGCGGAGTCCGGGTCGGAGGCGGCGCCGGATGCGGACGCCGGCGAGACGGAGGCCGAGGTGGAAGGTGTGGTGTCCATTGGGACGGGAGGCGGCGTTGTGTGACGGCGCGGCAGGCGGAGGAAGAACCGAACAAAGGGACTGGCCAGTGGGCTTCACGGAGGAGTTTATAGCCACCGCCGCGGGGCGTCCACCAACTCGGAGAAAAATTCAAGCTCAAACTCCGAAACTCGTGCTGTCGTTCACCTCCCCTCCCCCCAGCATCCCAAGTTGAGGAATCAGGAGATGGGAAGAGACGGGAAGGAGACTAGGCGCCGGAGCCGCAAGAGATCCCGCGACGCCTCCCCCTCCCCCTCCTCGGATTCCGACTCCCCTTCCTCGGCGTCCTCCCCGAGCAGCAGCCCCGAGCGACGGAGCCGCAGCAGTAAGCGGAATAGGTCATCCTCGTCGCACCTCCACCGCCACCGCCACAGCCGCAAGGACAGCGGACGGTCGCGGAGCTCCCGCCACGAGGACCGCCGCCGGCGGCATCGGAGAAGACGGGACCAGGAGAGGAAGCGCCACAGTGGGGATGGTGGCGGGTCCTCCGACTCCCAATCGTCGGAGGAGGATAGGGCGGAGGAGGCGCGGGAGATCGTCCGAGATATCCTCAGGGAATTGCCGGCTGTAGCCGAAGAGCTTCGCCAGGTAGGGTTTCTTATCTTTTATTTTTATTTTTAACCTAGAGTTGTAGTTTCGGAAAGTTGAACAACGGGCCATGTCTGGACTTCCACAACTACAGTGCTAGAAAATCTGTAAAACACAGTTACTTCATACGAATGCAACAACTCTGCATCCATAGATAACCCACATATACTACATGAGCGCGATGATTTGTGATTATGTTCAGTCTCTGGTAGCTATAAGATGAAGGATAATAGGTTGTTTCACTCTAGGGAAATGCAGCGAGTCTGAAATGATTCCTCGTTCCTTACAAAGTGCCATAGAAGCTTCTTGATATGTCATGCAATCATCCTAACTTTTCTTGTATTGCAAAATAGAGCTCCTCCTGCTTTTGATTCTTTGTGAGAAATCAGAAATGATTTTCTGAGAGAAGTGATTCTCTTGGATTCTCTGAGAAAAATTATAGATCAAAAGTGATTCTTTGTGAGAAGTGAATCAGGGGAAGCTATTTTTTTCAGCTCCTAGCCTCCTAGTTCACTTCACGGAAATCATCCGAAGATAAACTATAATTTTGTTTTGTATTTTTGATGCTTGGTTGATGTGCTTATAATCAAGAACCAAAACACATGGCATAATGTTCAATTGAAAGATATAATGATAAAGAATATTTTGGCAGTTACAACTGCTACTTTTGAATCATGTATTGTAGTCTGAGTTAATTCAACTTGTGTCTGCTGAAATTAATGTGGATGTATAATTTCTTATTACTAACTTTCATTGCGGAGTTATTTCAACTCTTCCATTTCAACCAGCAGTTGTCATGCTGAAAATCAGCAACTATGACTTGCAGAGTTACCCTTTATCTTTGTGATCAATCTGCATGACCAAAATTTGAGCTTCTTTCTTGGTGCATATTTTGTTTTATACATTGAGTTACATCTTTGAAAGTTTAATAAAATTTTATATTTATACTGCCTTTTTAGGCTTCCAATTGGCATAATAATATTGAAGTTACTTAATAGCATGATATATTCATATATTAGATATGCATAGAAGTGGTGTATGTGTTGCACTTGTATTCATTATGAGAGCTCTAGGCCCAAATATATACAGGTACAGACAATGGGGAAATACAAATATTTATAAGCCATCTAACAGTATGAAACATTATTCTAGCTATTATCTTCGTACTTATTGTTTTCTATGGACTATGGTGGCTTCATTTGTCCAAAAGTATTGTGTACATTAACTCTCTTCGATTTTTAATATGCTACTGAAAATAGAATGTACAACCTGCAGTCTCTTTGTGCTGTAATATTATTTTTCCTGAATATATTTAATGTGTATATTTGTACCACATGCATTTTTAGTGTAACTTTTATGTTCTGTGTTCTTAAGATAGCTCATGACATGTGAACTTTCAGCTTCTCCAAATGATAGACAGTGGTGAAGGCATTGACATTTCTGGAATTTCCGACAAGCCATTGGTGAAGCGCTTGAAGAAACTTTTCCGATCTCTGAGACTGAAAGAAAGTGCAAGTGGGGCTTACTTGCTGCCTCCAAAAAATGTTCCTACACTTGATATTGTTGGATCATTACTATTAGAAAGTTCCAGACTTTCAGATAACAAAAGTGGAAAGTCAGTATCACCAAATAGAGAAGAACTACCACAGGCTAACTTTGATGTGCAAAATAAAGATAAAGATGATATTATTTCCGAAGAGCCGAAAGTTATTGATGTGGAAGAGGAACCTCCTAAAAGAAGGTTGGTGTCACAATTTGTTCTGCTGCAGTATTCCCGATAAATTTCATTGCATACTGTAAGTATGATAGAAGTATTCTTGGCCATATACTTGTTTGGTTAGATAGTTGCACCAGATGTGTCCTTCATTGAGTTACTTTAGGCTAACAACAGTACATGAGTTTTTCAATTACTGAATGTTATTGTCTGCTTCACTATAATGCCAGAGTATCCCACTATTAGCATATATTCTTGATGCTTGTATTCAGTAGCATTAGTAACTTAATAACACATGGCAAGGACATGATCATATCCCACTGAGCGAAACCTGGTGAGACAGGTGGGTGTCAACCGGGTTATGAGGGTTCGTCTCCACTTGCCCTCCCATGAGGGGCTATGATGAACCTTGCCACCGTGCATCATGGCCCTCCTGTCCGCCCCCCATCTAGTGAGTTTGTGGATAGCAAAAATACAAGCTCTATTTTTGCCTTCCCCCCATAGTTAGCTTCCTAAAACTCAAAAAACGGGGTGGGGGGGGGGGATCACACGAAAACCACCGGGACAGACCCCACCTGCATCCGTTGGCTGCCTCTAGCCATTGCCCTAGATCCCCATCCCCAGCCATCCCATGAACTTTCCCGTGCTCCACCTCTCCCTTGTGGCAGCGCTCCACCTCCCCCTTCCTCTGCTTCTCCGTGTTCCATGCCAGGGCCAAGCGCTGGCAGCCTTCGATCTCCTTCATCTCATCCCATGCTAGGGCCAAGTGCCACCAAGCCTTGATCTCCCTTGTCTCGTGTGGTCGCGCCATTAAGCTACTGTAGGTTACATCAGGGCCGATCCTGCCCACGACAAGCAGTCTTCATGCTGGGCACTATGAGCTTCATGCTTCCAAGCATGACACAATAACCGTGGCAGCCATAGCCATATCGGTGAACCTGCATAGTGCTCGATGAGGTCTTTATGCTCCCATGATTGATTCAAGTTGCGTTTGTAGGTTGCTTGATTGAGGTGGTGCTCTCGTGAGTAGCGAGTTGCTGTGAGTTCTTCGATGAGTTCTGCACATGCGGCGTAGTCAAAGTATATTACTGCTGTATTTTCTCTTGAAATAACTATTCTAGGTTCTAATGTTCTTGATTAGTAGGTTTGGCATTATCCTGTCTAGTGTGGCTGTGTGTTTATGGAATGCCTCATTTCCTTCTCAAATTTGTTACCCGACACAACATGATTATTTTTTTGTCTGATTACTGCCCAACTTGTTACACGATTTAATATTTTTGCTCTGTACAGGATAATCGGTCCTGCAATGCCATCTCGTGAATTACTGGCTGCAGCAGCTGAAATGACAGAGGCTCTTAGGTGCCGGTAATGATTTATTCTTGTTTTTAGTCTGATATGTTTAGCCTAGATTCATGTGTCAAACAATGGTTAGCTTAGGCAAAATTTCATTTATTTAATGTTCCTAACCAGGGATGCTGAACTGGAAGCCGATGATGATTTGCTCATAGGCCCCCCACCGCCTGCTGTAGTTGCTGAAGCTGCATCTGCAAATGAAGCTGAGCGATTTGAAGAGGTACATTGTCAGTAATGATATTCCACCATTAATAATTTTGGAGCAATGCAGTACCAAGTACCTATGTTATTTTAAAGTTCATCCACTGTTAGTACTTTGGAGTCAAGTCAACGGTTTCATGATTGGGTCAAGTTTACTTCTTGCTTCATCTACTTGCATGCTTTTGCTGTGCACTTTTCTCGAGTTATCTTTACTGTTTGCAATTTTCACAGCAGTTGTGTATGTAACCTGTCCACCTTGTCTGTCATCAATAATCCTGATTGATTTTGTGCTAACAACAGTATAATGTGTCCTCATTGATCCTTGCTACGTGCTTTTCTTATTTACCTTGCAATCAGCTAGTCTCAGCTGCCTATGGGGTCAATTTGTTATTCTGGATGATATCATATATATCTTAATATTTGATCCTTGGCACAAATTACGGAGTAATATGTGTGACTCACTTTGCTTGTATAACTGCAATCGACATTATAAACAACTTTCAGGTCCTGTTGGGATACTTGGGATTATGATCCAAAAAATTTTGCGAGCACTCCTTTGATTGATTAGAACGCGAAGTTCTTTCTTCTAGTTTGTCTCTGTCACTTAATAAACATTTAATGGACAACATGATTATTTTCTGAATTCTTATTTTCTTTTTCAATTAAATATCTGGTTTTGTATGTTCCAGCAATTTGTTGACCTTTCTTTTGGATGTTTTTTGGTAGGTTACTCGAATATTGGCGGCTGACACAAATTCACCTTATGATGTTCTGGGGGTAAATTGGAAGATGTCAACTGATAACATGAAGAAAAGGTGGTGATTTGTATGCTCTTCATTTTCACAGCTAATTTGTTTTGATAATAAAAATGTTACCCAAATCATACTGTAAAGATAATAGAATGGTCTGTGTAGTATTTGTTCTGTAGGTTGTTGGGACTATTGTTGACACAAATAGTGAAAATTCGTAGCAGTACCTTTTAGGCTTTTACAGGTCTTGCAATCTTCAAGTGCCCGTGAAGAAAGTGGCTCCATGTTGTTATCTATGTCATAAACCTATCACATCATGCTACATTAGTTATGTTTTTCTTTTATGTTTTCTTCTTAAGTGACTAATCCTCCTATCTTATACTGTAGGTATTGGAAGTTGTCTCTTTTAGTACACCCGGACAAATGTCCTCATCCTTCAGCACAAGAGGCATTCGTGAAATTAAATAATGCCTTCAAAGACTTACAAGACCCTGATAAGGTGCACGAGTTTTCCACACACTGAAACTAGGTTCATCTTTCTATCAAAGTTCACTTGCAGAATTTTGCCAAGTACAGAACCACTATTACATTTGTCTTATTTGGAGAAAATAATACATACTGTGGCCATTAAAGAAGATACTATTGAAGAGATAAAACATTTGATGAAAGTTCCAGCTTAGTTTGTCTCTCTTTTCGCTGATTAGTAAAATCCAGCGTCCTCCCTTTCCCTCCCTCCCTCAGTGCAGCTTACATTTTTGTTTCTGGCATTTTCTTCATTTGCAGAGAGGTGCAATAGACGAGAAGATAAAAAAGAAAGAGGAGATGGAACAATTTGAGGTAAACTTCTGTAGAATATCTATTGCTTATTGTTTGATCAGAATGAAACAGATAAGTATTTTATGCTGTTTATCCCATTTCTCTACTTTTTAGATTGAGCTTAAAGCAATGCGTGAGGCTGCGGAATGGAGACGGTTACAAGGTAAACTATTGCAATATCAAGAGCAATATTCCAAAATAAAATTTAGATATAATTTGATGCTATGTACTGTAGCGTGTAGTGACATTTTTGGGGTACAAATTTCAATCTACAGTTGTGCTTTATATGACGAAGATCTAACTGCATGCTATGAATTCCTATCCAGAATATCACTTAGGCAAGCAACCCAACATTATCAAATTAACTATCATAATAACAAGAATGATTTTTTGTCTCTAATTACATACTAACTTCCAAATCAAACACTGTTGAATGGACCTCTGGCTTCTCCATAAAGCTTGAATTATAAGATATAAAGCAAATTTCACATACTGCGCTCCATGCCCATGCTGTGATTGTGTTGACTATAGTTATTTATACTTTATTTGTGTTTGGTAATTGCAGTGATTGAGGGCCTTTAGCCCTGTGCACTAATACACTTTAACCACCATAAGATGTAACCTCTTTTTCATTTTTTTGTCTGCTTGTGCGCCCAGATTTGATGGACGTGATTTCATTGATTATTTTTGTTCAAAGTTTGTCATAGCTGGTAGTTGTGAAGATATTGAATGTCAAGGATAAATATGATGTCATCCTCTTTTTGCTTGCAGGTGTATCACTTGCAGGTGATGATGAACTTTTAGCAGGTCCAAAAGAGTCACAGGGACCTAAGAGAGATGAATGGATGACCACATTGCCACCCGAGAGAAAAGTAATGATAGAAATATTTACTTGTGTAATTGTTTTATCTACAATCCACCAAAGTATGCTTTATTGTGATATCTTACATGTATGTAATTTTTTTCTTCTCACAGGCAGGAGTGCCGATGCATTCAACTAAATCATTTAGTATGAATGGTAAAGAAGGACGTGGAGACACAAGTGTCTGGACTGATACCCCTCTTGATAGAGCACAAAAAGCACAACAAAGGTATGCTTACTGAAAGCAAGGGATTTTTTTCCTCGAACTATGCGGGAGAGCTCAGTGTCATTTCACTAATAAAGAAAAGAGTACAAGAGCAAGACGAAAACAGCCCCACCCAGAACACACGCTACAGAAACCCAGTTGTCTATAAACCACGTGCTCCTGACTAAAGAACACGACCAAGGGGATCAGACTGCCAACCAGAAAAGGCGCCAAGAGCTACATTCATCGGCGACCTTGTGCAGAAGACTGAATATTAGCGGAAGCTCCCTCAAACACACAAGCATTCCTAAATTTCCATACTTCCCAGGCTACCAAAATAATAAGGGAATTAAGCCCCTTGCGCATCTCCTTGGGGGAGTTTGTGCCAAAGTCACCATGGAAAGTTTCTGAAAAAACAAAGTCCAAACCTGCTGGGTAAACACACAAGAGATTAGGATGTGCTGGATTGTCTCCTCAGCCTGATCACAAAAGGGCAAGCAGGCTGGTGGGGCAGCTTGTGCTTGGCGAGGCGATCGGCCGTCCAACACCGTTTATTGATGACTAACCAAAGGAAGAACTTGCATTTGAGAGGAGCCCAGCTTTTCCAAAATTTTCTAGGGACCAAACTTGATAGTTCCCAAGAAAAAGGCAGTGTAGGCCGACTTGCTAGAGTAGGATCCCGATTTTGTAAGTTTCCAGTGGTGCTGATCAGGGACACTCAGTTGCAAAACCACCGCCCACCAAGTCCAGAAAGCAAGGGAATTGCGCAGGAATAGTAGATTGATTATGCGGAGGCAATAGTACAATCATATATAGGCAAGTATTGTCCTAGGGTTTTGGCTAATAGAATCTGGGCCAGCCATGGGCATCCTTGCCTACAACAGATCATCAATCAACCTTACAGATCATGCACGGGGCCAAGGCCCAAAGGGCCAACCAAACTAAGTCCCTCCCTATAGCTGTCTAACACTTATGAAGCAGTTTAGTTCTTTTTATGATATATGATAGTTTGTTCAATATTTTTCATGCCTGCTAGTGCAGTGGCAATACTGGTAAAGAGAATTAATTGGCATCAGTACAGGACAAAAGGCCCACATAGCAGAGTTGGCAATAATTCTTTGCAACCTACATGTAGAGCCATCACACTAAGCAATATTCAAATTCCACTTCCATATAGAAGTTGTCTAAACCAACTTTGCTTTTAGCAATGATGAAAAATGCAAAATAGCACACAAACATGCAGCAACTGGGCACCGAGGCAAAAAATAGTGGCATTTCTGTATGATGTGGTTGTTCCCTGAACAACCTGAAGGCTGCTACTATTTTAATGACTGGTTCCTCCTTGAAACTAGATAAAACCTAGTCGGAATTTTGAACTGTGAAGAACTTCCAGCAGTAGGCTAACACCAGGAGCGAGAAGTTCCTTCCAGGTTAACACTAGTTAAAGGCATGAATGTTACTAGCTCTTGTAGAACATTCGTTTGCATATGTAGTTATTTCACTTAAATATTATAGGCTTGCATATTATTGCGGCAATATGCACACTATTAATTATTCTAAAGCTCAGAATTATTTTTAATGACACATCCTGAAAATTAAATCATCCTTTTGTAAAGCAAGCTTTCCTTTGATCATTGTAAGTGAGTTAAGCAGGATTGAAATTAGTGTTTCCATGTATTGTCACTTATGTATACCATGCTATAGTATTTCAATGGTCGAATGGCTCATAATTCTAGAAATATAATGGCATTAGTAATTACATAATGCCTTTTGCCTTTATGATAATGAAAGCGTAAGTGCATGGATTGGATGTCACAATCTTAATATAAACCAGCTGATTGGCAACTGTTTTCATTGCCAACTAATTAAACTCATGGAATCTTGCCATCGTTGTTTGAGTCAGCAGGCAAACAACATTGTAATGGAGGCATCAGTTTGCTTTGCTATTAAAATATAAAATAGATGCACCATATTACTGGCATTTCCATTTGTAGTACGCCTTGTCCCCATTGCATCTTTAAATAATACCAATGTACATGGGCTAATGGATTACACTCTCTTGCAGCTATCTAGAAGCCTACAATAAGACAAAGGCGATTGCAGAAGGCCATGATGTAAAGAGCAAAAACCCGGATGCTTCAATTGTAGATAAGTACAATACCTCCAAAAGATCAGTGTCTCTTGTTCAGAAGCACCGAGAGAGTAAAAAGGAGAAAAAGAAACAAAAGCAGCACGAGAAAGAGGAATGGGAGGGAAACCACCCATGGAAGCCATGGGACCGGGAGAAGGATCTGACTGCTGGGCGCCAAAAGGTAGCCTTAGACCCAGAGAACATGTCACAAGGATTAACTTCCCGTTTCGCATCTGGTTCTATTCAGAGGAACTTCCTGTGAGCAGTATGGAAAGATACTCCTGGAGCATGGCCTAATCGATGATTAATATCCAGTTACATCTTTGTCGGCAGATGGCAAATATATTACTGACACATAAAAACGAGTTATGTTACCAAGGACAGTCATCCTGTAAGTTTGTTCGAACTATACAATGGTCTTAGAATTGCAATTTCTTTTTAATCATGGTAAAATGTCTAGGTTATGGGGTTGGGTTACCATGGGCCTTTTTGTTTCCTTTTTTTTATTGTACGAAAAATGTGGCATGGCTTTGCGGATGGTCTCTGATAGTTCATGGTCCACTTGGATACAATACATACCCTGTTACTTTCATACGTGCAGACTGCTACTATAAACTTGGATTTATAAAGTTTACTCGGTGATGTGACATCAACATGTACATTTTATGCCTAGTTAAGTTATACCTAAATGTACTGATAGGTTAACGCCTCTCCTTTGTAAAATACTTGTCTTCTAACTACGAGTTTATTCACTTGATTAGATTGTTTAGCGTTAGTACTGAGGTCCTTCCACTACGAGATTCAAAGTCTGAGCGTTTCTTCGCAGTCCCAAGTCAGATAGCTTTTATGGTTCCTTCGTCAATATTGTGTATTCCAGAATTTACAAACTAGTCAATTTAGCTATAACCTATTTAAGAAATTAGCAAACCATCTCATGATCGTAAACCAGCTGCTCCACCGCGCTACCAATCTACCATTAGGAAGAGTGTTGGCTCCCCTGGAGCTGCAGTTGTGCAAGGGGCCAAATGCAGAGCAGACTCATCTGAGGAAAGAGTTAAAGAGTCATCCAAAATCCAAATGGGCTTAACCCGCTGTGGAGTATTTATACAATTTTTAAGGGACAAGCTTATAGTGATAAATAATAGAAGGAAAAGCTTCAGTGTAAGGTATAGGTGAAACGTGCACTATCATAGTTAGAACAACTATTTATAACAACATCCTTAGCTTCCATTGAGTTTATCTATTGACACACGCATCAGACCAGTTTTACATTTTTACTGCAGTTTCTGAATTGGGAGAAGCAATCATCTTTAACATAATCTGGAGATGGCAACCTTTTGGAACGATTTAGCTTCTTTGTCTGAAAAAAATGACGAGAAACAACAGCTAATCTATATAATAAACTAATATTAAAATCGATATAAATTTGTTTCATTCCGTTATGCCAAACCGGACAACCTCCGCATCCACCACCGTCACCCTACAGTCCTACACTCACTTTTGTTCGGAGTCCTGATCCGTGCACATTTGTAAATACTCCACATCGGGTTAAGCACATGCTGATCTTAACTATCACTCAGTCAGTTCCATGCCTCGTCTGGTGTTGCTGGCATCTGCATGCATGCATCGCTTGATTACAATCTAGCGGAGAAAAGAAACCATTTTTTTTTTTTTTTGCAGAAGGAGGTAATGAGATCCAGGCGAGTTAAGATTTCTTGGCTTCGGTGAAATTTTTTTAAGCGCCTATCAAACCAGGACACAGGGAGTGTATAATTCATATATGTTGTGAAACTACAAGAAATTTTTAAGATGGATAGTCACTTTGAACAAAGCTAACGTGATATGTAAAAAGAACAAAGAGAGTACCACCATGAACGGATCCAGCGGTGGGGCAGGCGGGGCTCTAGCCGCCCCTACCGCTGCCGGACCCATGGAGCCTCCCTAGAAATTTTTGTCATAGATGCACCTTGAGAAGAGACTGAAGCTATCTAGAGGTTGAAAAAGGCCCCCTAACATTTATCATGGATCCGTCCTTGAGTACCACATCACTGGTAGAACTTCTGTCCACCCATAACCTTTGAACATGCGTGTTAGAGCACCACGTTTAGATGATAAGAAAGACCTCTAAATTATTAGATTTACGTGAGGATCTATAGGGATCCTGATTCTCATGGATGAGCTCCATATAACAATATGAGATAGACTTTGAACAACTCCTTTATGTTAGGGCTTGCCTAGCGTGCCAACATGGCGTGTTGCCCTAGAGTTGACATCAATACTAAGTAGTTTAAGTATCCATATCACACCAGTTAGAGCAGACCCAACGCTCCACGATGTGCATATGCCTCAGTGTGACATCTAGGTTCGGATGACATTCTAGAGTAAAAAAGCAGTGGCTTGCATATTGTCAATGACCTGCAGAGGTCACTGGTGGCTCGGGATAGGAAACGTGTGGGTCCAATCGCGTAGAGGGAAAAAGCAAGAAAGCAACAGTACTTTTGGTGCATTAAGAGAGGCTGATGGGACCAGAAGTCTAGTGCCTTCACTAATTTGCATTGGAAGACCTATGCCTCTACCCATACAAGTCTACGTGTAACCCGAATTTTGAATTAAGACCGCCGTCAGTACTACCTGCTATGGTGTTGCCCTTAGTAGTCTTGTAGGGTGGCAGAGGCTGCGGAAGTCACGGTGGTTTGGTCTGACAATGCTACAGCAGAGGCAATAAACCAAACCTGTTAGGTGGATTCGTGGTCTCAAATGCAAATTCTCACAAAATATCTACGATGGCCAGTGCTGCAGCACTAGCTATATGTACTCCTATATGTTCTCCGGTAGACGTGACATCTCTTTTTTACTGAAACACTATATGTTCTTATGTAGGCGTGACATCTTTTTTTTTTGACGTGACATCTCTTTTTGATTAAAACACTGTATGTTCTCTTATAGACGTGACAATTGCTCGGTACATTAGTTTGTGACGTCGCTTACATCAACCAAGGTTTGCCGCACCTAAAGTTTTGGGTGTGGTCTCAAGACCACTATACATTTCCATAAACAAAAACCAATTGTGTGGTTCCTTTTTCATATTTTAGATTACCATAAATTATTTTATTTTTGCACAGAATTTTCGATAGAATTGTGAGAAATGGCCGTACGTGCACAAAACCTGATGAGCCGTACTTGGGGCGCTAGATAGAGGATTTCCGTGCCACATGGCACTTATTTGGTGTTCTAGACTGGACTAGAAGCCTGGAGAAATGTTTGTTGTTCTTCTAGAACACGCCCTCGGAATCCTATCGCGCCACTCACGACAGTCGACACGCCCGCGGAAGCACTCTTTACCGAACTCTCTCTGTCGCCATGCTGCCGGCGGTCGCCGCCGCATCCCCCAGCCTCTCCCATCTGCCGCGCTACCACCACCTTGGCCGTCGCTTTCACCTCCGCCGCCACCGCCTTCTACCTGCTACTCCGGCCAGGCCCTCGTGTGGCGTCACCCGCGCCCGCCGCCTTCTCCTTGCCGGCGCGTTCGCCTCCGGGGAGGGTCCTTCAGGACAGGTGAGCTCCTGGCAGCCCTCCTGACACGCCATCGTGGTGTTTGCTCAAATTAGTCCGCAGGAATTTGCAAAAATAGATAAATATTTTAAAAAAAACTCTACAATGTTTGTGTGTTCTGAACCGTACTGTCCATATAATGCTTTAATTGCTCCATTTTAGCAAGAAATTGCGGTATTCCAGCAATTTTCAGGATGTTTTGAAATGCAACTGACAAAATTCTGAAATTAGTTTACATGTGGGCGTTTTGCTTTTAAAAGATAATGTTTGTTACCACGTTTTTTTTATAGCTCACTTCAATTGTTCTGAACTTTTGAAATTCAGAATGGACTTTCTTGAAGTGCAATTTCTTTCAGAGTTGCTGTCGTCTCAATACATCGGTTGATTTTGTTAGGATGTTGACTACTCTGCTGGCGCCACAAATTCTGGGTCTGCATACCTTGGTCTCTTCGTTCGATTGCTTGGCTTGGACAATGACGCACGTGATAGGGAGCATGCTGTTTGCACACTCTATCAGTACTCCCTTGGTGGAAGGAAGTGCATCGATGAGATAATGCAATTCCCTGGTTGCATTGTTCTCATCATTAGCCTCCTGAAATCAGAGTCCACTCCTGCCTGTGAAGCAGCTGCAGGTCTTCTGCGTAACATTACATCAGTTCACATATATAGGAAGATGGCTGGTGAGAGTGGAGCAATGGAAGAAATCATTAGTCTTCTCTGTAAATCTACAATAACCCCTGAGGTAGCTGCAAATTTAATCATTACCACTCCAAGATCTTTTTCTCCATTCCATGTTGGCTGTAAAGTGATATAATTGGCTGTTACCATGTCTGGCATGCGTGGTAATGGTTGATAGCCAGGATACATATAAAAACAATGTTGAATTACCTAATGCATTGTGAAATTGCAACATAATGTTTTCCTCTTGCAGATTCTAGAGCAGTGTTTGTGTACCATTTGGAACTTTTCTATTGATGAAAATTGGAGGTACAAGATTCTGAGGAGCGATGTCCTAATGAAGATTGTTAGCTACCTAGATGAAGAAGACATAAAAGTCAAAGAGGCCGCTGGTGGTATCATATCAAATTTAGCTTTGAGTCCCTCTAATCATGGAGCTTTGGTTGAAGCAGGCGTCATCCCAAAATTGGTAATTTCAACATAACAAGATCCCAGTGCAAATAATCACACACTTATATGCATTGCTTTAATGTTGAAAACATGAAATGCTGTATTATCCATGTTAAGGATATACACTTGGCACATGCATTATTCAACTGTTTTTTCCTCAAATGAGGTCCTAAAAGCCATTGCAATTGCAGTACTATGAGATGCTTTTAAACTTTTGGTGATCTGTAACTCAGAAACTTTATCAAAGGCTAAATATATAGGTCTATATTTTGAGATATGCCTAAATCTTATGTCATGCTAATATTTTGTTGGAGTGCAAAGTGCTTTTGCCACTTGTTATTATATATTTCCTGAAATTTGTTCCAAATAATAATTTGGGGTTGTTTTTTAGGTTCATCTTTTGCAAACCAAAGAAGATGACTATAAGATTATTAGAAAGGAAGCAAAAAGTTCACTAATACAGCTGACTGGTGATGATCATTACTACAGCCTTATAATAGAGGAGGGTCTAGTCCGGGTTCCTTTGGTTGGCTCAGCTGCATATAAAGCTTTTAAACCTCTCCCTCATTCATGGCCCTCTTTTCCTGATGGCTCTGAGATTCAACGGAGTTCTCGTCCCTCAAAATACGGTGCTACTGAACTGCTCCTTGGCTTGAGTGTCAATGAGAATGATACAAAACCAGATGAAGCTAAAATTAATGCTATGATAGGACGTTCTAATCAGCAATTCCTTGCGCGTGTTGGAGCTATTGAGTTGGATGATCAAGGAAAAGAGGAATCTGGATCTGAAAAGAATGACATGTATACCATTTTGCCATGGGTAGATGGTGTTGCACGGTTAGTTTTAATCCTTGGACTGGAAGATGTCTCTGCAATAAAAAAGGCTGCTAGAGCATTGGGTGACGCATCAATAAATGAACATATGCGTACCTCATTCAAGGAAGCTGGGGCCGTTAAACCTCTACTTCAGTTGCTCAAGCACAAAGATGTACATGTTAGAGAAGCTGGTGCTTATGCGTTGGAAAAATTAAGTGTCAGGTACTTTATCTTTCCTTATTCAAAGTCTTTAATCAAGGCAACCATACCACTTAATGTTGTTTAGAACAAATCTTAATATCACTTTGCTGGTAATGAACTCTGTTTGGGTGCTGTCACTTATAACACAGTAAGGCGTTTCTAGGAGATTATATTTTTTCTTGATGCCTAGAGGAATGTCATGTTAAATAGAGGAATTTGGCATATTAATAAACCCATGAGCTCTATGACCATAATTTATCTTTTTCCATCTCTAATTCTCCCTAAAAATACTCTAGGTAGAAAAAACGCCTAGACAAAATGCCTAGGTGCTAGGTGAGGTGTTGCTGCTCCGTTTAAGTGTTGCCTTTTTAAACAAAGGTTTCACAATGTATTGATGTATCGCCTTTTAAAACATGCACAATGGACCTACATTTATGTCTATGTGTATCTATTTGTTTGGCTAATAGAACATTGTTTTTTTTTTTGTACCCAGTTTGTTTCCTTGTTTGGGTAGTTTATTTTCCTGTGTGGACGCATATGTTACTATGACTAAAGCAATTGCGTAAGAGACAGGTTCCATACAGTCTTTCTTCTACTTTAATAAAATGGTATGCAGCTCACCTGCATATTTGAGAAGAAAAGCACTGCATGTTTTGGAACATATTCAGAACTTTTTTTTTTTGGGGTGGGTGGGTGGAGGGGGGGGCTACTCGGTCCATTTTTTTTATGAATAGTCCAACATATCAGCTTTATTCAAATGCACTTACGCTACTCCTTATTTAGGCTAGCAGAAGATACAGATAATGAAGTCTAGTACTCTAGTTTGCGCTACTCCTTATTTAGGCTAGCAGAAGATACAGATAATGAAGTCTAGTACTCTAGTTGTCTGTAATGTTGGCTTTAGACTAACAAGTGATTGTGCATAAACTGTTTAATATGTGGATAGTGCTGAAGTGTTCTCTACTTGATAAGCCGCAAAGTGCTTTAATAGCATATAATGTATATTGGGGCGCTACTCGACCATATTTAGTATTTTCTTCTGTTTGTTGCTGGATTCATTTTTTACTATCATATGTTCCTCGTTTGACTACTTCTTTCTTCACAATCCTTTGTAGTGCCACAGTCTGTCGGAATATCAAAACAGAAGGTGGATTAGAATTGCTTGTAAATATAGTCAAGGATCGAGATACCCCAGTAGAACTACTAGAGAAGGTATTGGCCTTCAACATGACCTTTTTTACACATAAGAATAACATTGTCATGGCTAGGGTTTTAACTTAACAGTTTCTGTGCAGATAATTTATATACTTTCTCGAATGTTTGACATGGGGATTTGCATGGTTGCTGCAGTGAGTCTAGCTTATTTTGCACATCACTGGTTTTTATTTGTTTTATATTGAAACACTGCACTCTAATGCTCTCAATTTGTCAGCCGGATACTGAAGGTGATAAGGACAGTGGAAACAATGCAATTCCCCAGACATCTGTTAACCAAGAGATGGCCAGGTTAGTTTGGGCCTTGTGGCTACACATGTGACTTTCTTTACTTACTCTATAATTTCATGGGAATTCTTGAGTTCTCATTCCCTTAATTCATAACAAAGTGTTGTTTTAGCTTTATGCACACATGACAAATTGGTATAAGATTACCACATTAAATTGGTATAAGATTATTGTTTATATAAATGCGTGAGACCTTTGCATGATTGGTCTATTAATAATGTTTAAGTTTTATGCATGCATATTACCAATCGGGTCTTCATTTACTGACTTACGGTATCATCCTTTTAAATGTTAGTGTCTGTAATACTTCTAACAATTAAGCTCAAGTGTCGAGACAGATGTCAAACTGGTTAATTGTTTAATAAAACTATTTTGTCTTTAGCCCTTCAAATTACTCACAATTAATATATGGTATAGATATAGATATATATGATTATAGAGACACTTAATATATGGATATTTTTCTTTCTAAAATAACAATTATGTAGGGACAAGAGTTTTAGGGATGAAGGAAGCACTTTCCAGTGGAGAATAAGTTATTTTCAGTAGTGGGAAAAACATGAATTTATTTCATAACAAGCTGCTTATAGGGACCAACCAGTTATGTTGTTTGTCATAATTTAATTACTCCAGAATAAGTACATCAGTAGATTGAATAATTGAGGCCCCGTTCGCTTCGCTGAAAAAACAAGTCGAAACACTGTTCCGGCTGATTTGTTGTGAGAGAAAAACACTGTTTTAGCTTTTTTATGCACTGCTGGCCGTTGGCTGCCTTTAAACATAGCCACGGTGGCAAGAAACATGCCAAATCAACATGCTTTGCCACATTACCATTGACCTCTAGTCTTTCTCTTCCCTTCTCATCCATGGGCACCATGACATCAACCATTCAGCAGCGATTACTCTGGATCTAGATTTGCCCTAGTCCCTGCCTTGTTACCACTACCATGAGCATGGTAAGCTTGCATGCTTGCCATCACTGGAGAGTGCATGGCCACTTGCACATTGACCAATTTGATCGCATTCTGAAAGTTAAAATTTGCGGTCTCCTTAACAAGCTGCTAGCACATGTGGATAGCATGTTGACGTCCCTCTTGATTTTGCTTGTGTTTCGACCAGTTATCTTGCGCTGTTATCTTTCATGCCGGAGTTGTAAATGGGTTTGCTCTTTTATTTGCCAATACCTTGTTAGTGTTGTGTCCAATGTTTTATTACTCTTCCCCCAAAAAATCCTATCTCAATTTCTTTTCTTAGCCACATTGATCTGTCACCTCTGTTCTTTACTAGCGTTTGAATATGCCGCCACAACCACGTCTTTCTCTCTAACACGGTAACACCAATTTCTCTTCTACTGCTGCTCTCTGTCACTGCACTTATCAATGAGAGTATGATTGCTGGCGAACATATCTACTACGCCGTGGTTCTACATACTACAGTTTTGGCAACACCCCTCTTTGGGGCACACAGATCCTGTTCTGCACTATCGTCTTTGGTTTCTTGCTTCTCTTTTGGGCACGCAAGCCTGACACTTTATCATTCATGTGGTGTAGTGTCTGTTGGAATATTGTAGTGATGTGATTCTTTCAATGTTTGTAGCGAGTTGATCTTCGATTTTGATGCTATCTCACGTTTAATGAAAGTTCTGAAGGAAGCATTGCCAAGGTTGCAAGCAAGAGTCTGTTGTGTACTAGACCATGTAGCAGCTTCAGAGCAACATGCCACTGCAATGACTGCTGTTTGCACTGGTTCAGTAATCGAAGCTATTCTTGAAATAGGGGTTATTCATGGTAAATTTTTAATTCAATTTTGTGTTAGATTTACAAATGGCTACATTACTTCTTTTCCTTGTATCATTTATATATATCATGAAATAGTTATGGTAGTAATCTTTGATAAGAGTTCTGATGCACTAAAAAGCTTTATGGTAGTGCCCTAACTTGACATGAATTACTATACATATTGTTAAGATGTTGAGTATGTTAGAGTATTAGATTAATGCATTTGTTTGAAGAGTAAAAATTGCCTTTTAATAATGTATTAATTGCCAAAAAAGTAATTGATCGACCAGAAAACATCAAGATTTGTTGAGGTCTATTGATTTGTACCAAAAAATGGAAGAATGAACACAAAGTTTGTTTTCATATCAACCATATTACATTAGGTTCATTTTTTATCCATGCACATCAACTTTAACATTATTCAAGTTCTGAATTTTGGTAGCTATATCATGTCTAGCCTAATGGAAATATATTTTCTGTTCCATAGTTCTATGTTTCACTGCCATAATTTAGTAAGATCTTTCAGTCAATTCTATCAATCAGTCAGACCTATATCGCTGTCATCCCTGCATAAATTTTTCTGGAATGATGGTGCCTTTTGGTGCTTGTATGCTGTTCATTAAGGTTGTATTATAAGTAACAATATAACATGACATTACAAATTATGATGCAAATATGCTTGGCATATATAATGTTAGCCAAGAATGGTGCTAATGAATCAGTTTTTGTGGAATTTTCTTCGACAAAATATTATGATTTAGTAGCATTCTGAGATATAACAATTTGCTGTCATTTTCTGCTAGTTTTCCATCTCAGTGATAGACAATAGCCTAACAGGCTTAGATTACTTAGAGATGGAGATTACAGGAGGATTACATATATAGAGAGGAGGAGGATGGCCCAAGGGGTCAGCCGAGTCCCCAAGAGTCAAACCGAGACCCAAGGGGCCAACTGGGTATTAACCTGGCACAGGAAGCTAGATTACACAAGTAACTAGGTGATTACACTAAATAGCAATTAATTCTAACACCCCCATGATCGGAGCGTCGGTGGAAACAGACGTTCGACCGAACGAAAATCCATGAAGACGGAGGAGGAAGGCCCTTGGTGAAGACGTCGGCGAATCTGCGATGTGGTGGGTACATGAAGAACACGGACAGCACCCATGGCGACCTGTTCACGGACGAAGTGGAGGTCGATTTCCACGTGCTTGGTGCGCTGATGTTGCACGGGGTTGGAGGAGAGGTAAATGGCGCTAACATTGTCGCATGAGACAAGACAAAGTGAGTCCGGGGATGGTGAATCTCCTTGAGCAGCCCGCAGCCAAATGACCTCGGCGACGCCGCAACAACAACCCGATATTCTGCCTCGGCGCTAGACCGGAGACGGTGGGCTGCCGCTTGAGGACCAGGAGATCAGTGTCCCGAGAAAGACCGCATAGCCGGAGGTGGAGCGGCGGGTGTCCGGGCAGCCGCCTAATCGGCGTCGATGTACACGAAGGTTGTGTTGAGCTGTCTGGGGATGACCGGACCATGACCGAGGGAACCACGGAGATAGCGAAGAATCCTTTTGGCGGCGACAAGATGAACTTCACATGGAGCATGCATATGAAGGCATACTTGTTGAACGGCGTAAGCAATGTCCGCCCGGTGAAAGTGAGGTATCGGAGGGCGCCCGCAAGGCTCACGGTAGTTGGTGGGGTCAACAACAGGGGGGCGGCATCGGCAGGTATCTTTGCACAAGTGTCAACTGGGGTGGAGCAGGGCTTGCAATCGCTCATGCCATGGCGAGCGAGGATGTCCAGTATGTATTGGCGCTGCGAGAGGATGACTGAATCCCTGTGGCGCTGAACTGAAATGCCAAGGAAGTGATGCAGAGGGCCAAGGTCCTTCATGGCGAACTCCTTTTTCAATGCAAAGAATGACACGGTGAAGGAGCTGCTTGTGATGAAGTCTGTGAGGACAATATCGTCCCACATATAAGAGCAAGTAGACAGATCTACATCCGTGGTCAGTATATGAAGAGAGAAGTGTCGGACTTGGCTTCAGTGAACCCTAGAGAGATCAAAAAAAAGCAAACCGGTGTACCGGGCCCAGCTGGGCTTGCTTTTAAGCCGTAGGGATTTGTTGAGCCGCGCAGACATGCTCTGGCGGCAGGCGAATCAAGAAACCCGGTAGGTCGAGAGCGATGAGCGGTCTCTGAAAGTGTGACGTGCAGGAAGGCGTTCTTCACATCAAGTTGATGAATGGGCCAATCCTTGGAGTGTGCTAGTGTGATGACTGTTCGAATAAAGGGTCGGGCTTGACAACCGGTGAAAGTTTCGCGCATAATCAACAACGGGCGTTGAGTAAAGCCCTGAAGCACCCAACGAGCCTTGTAGCGTTCCAAAGAGCCATCAAGATTGAACTTGTGTTTGAAGATCTATTTCCCAAGAAACCACATTGGCCTTGGCGGACGGGGACAAGATCCCAAGTGTGGTTGGCTTTGAAGTCTTTGATATTCGCTTTTCATGGCCCGGCGCCAATGAGGATCAAGAAGAGCATCACGGCGGGACCGCTGGAGTGGAGAGAGGGCCTCGGCATGCAGAAGCGAGACGAGGTCTTGGTACTGTTTTTCCACGGGTCGCCATACTATGGGAGTTGGCGGCCGTGAATGGAGACAAAGACCATCGGGGACCGGAGGGTCGCTCTTGACATAGCGCAGCGGTGGAGACGGGATCATCTTTGGAACGTCAGTGGAGGCCCTGTCCGGGCGCCGAGAGCCGGGCGAGGGGCGAGAGCACGCTCTTGCAGAGAGCGTGAATGATGGGCGGCTGGGGCGAGTGGTGCGGGAGCGTCTCGGCGGAGTGCCCCACCGGACACGGCCGCGGCTGTCTTTGAGAGGAGGGTGCCTGGTCAGAGGGCCCTGGAGACATGGGCGCCTGAACAGGGGACCCCCCCGGAGGCCTCGGAGGTGTCGACGGTAGAGGGGGAAAACCGGGAGGCTGGGAGGGAGCACGCGCCAGGGGAGGTGGTGGCCGGGGGCCAGCAGCTCCGGATGTACCTGCAGGAAGAGGAGACACTGGGAGAGCGTCGTCGTCAGTTAGAAAATCAAGTTCCTGCAGGGGTGGGGAGGGCCGGCTGTGGGTAAAAGGAAACGTTGTCTCATCGAAGACAACGTGGCGGGAAATGATGACCCGGTTAGTGGCGAGGTCAAGGCACCGGTAGCCCTTGTGATCCGGTGGATAGCCAAGGAATGCACAGAGAGTAGAGCGAGGGGCAAGCTTGTGGGGAGCGGTGGCAGAAAGGTTAGGATAGCAGGTGCACCCAAACGCTCGAAGATCGTGATAGGAGGGGAGGCTGCCATGGAGGGCGAAGAAAGGGGTGCTCATGTTTAGAGTTTTGGTGGGGAGGCGGTTGAGAATATAGGTGGCAGTGGCAAGAGCATCAGCCCAGTAGACAGGAGGCATGGAAGCCTGGAAGAGGAGGGTGCGGGTGATGTTATTGACGGTGCGGATCATGCGCTCGGCTTTCCCGTTTTGCTGCGAGGTATAGGGATACGACATGCGAAGAGTGGTGCCGTGAGCAAGGAAGAAAGCGTGGGAGGCAAAGTTGTCGAATTCGCGACCGTTGTCACATTGGACTGATTTAACAGTGCAACCGAATTGTGTGGACACATGAGCAAAGAAAAGGGAAATAGTGGGAAAAGCATCGGACTTAACACGAAGAGGAAAAGTCCACAGAAAGTGGGAGCAATCATCAAGAATGACTAAATAATATTTGAAACCAGAGACACTAATAGTAGGAGATGTCCACAGGTCACAATGAATTAAATCGAAATTCTTGGATGCTCTAGACATGGAGGTAGCAAAAGGGAGGCGAGTATGACGCCCAAGCTGACAAGCATGGCAGAGGGAGTCGTCTGCAGGCTTGCTGCAGACAATGGAGGAAGTTCGAGCGAGGTTCTGAAGAGTTGCCTTGCCGGGGTGCCCAAGGCGCCGGTGCCAAGTAGTCGGAGAAGGAGTGGCGATAAGGGCGCACGACCCAGCGGTGGATGACGGCAGTTGTAGGGTGTAGAGGGGCCCTGTGCTATTACATCTGAGGAGGGTGTTCCGGGTGCGGAGATCCTTCACAGAGACACCAAGAGGGTCAAATTCGACGGAAACGAGATTATCAGTAGTAAATTTTCGAACAGAAAGAAGATTTCTAATGATATCAGGGGCTACAAGGACATTATCGAGGCAAAAGGGTCCGGGAAGGACAGAATAGCCGGTGCCAACAACGGGAAGAGTGGCACCGTTGCCCACGATAATGGAGGAAGGAAAAGAAGAGGAGGGTGATGCGGTGACCATACCAGGGTTGGCAGTGATATGGGAGGAGGCACCCGAGTCGATCACCCAGTCGGAGGAACTTGGCGGCGGGGTGAGGGAGACGGTGCTGAAGGCGCTGGCGAGACCCTCAGGTGACCATGGCACCCAAGTGGGAGACGCCTGCGGGTAGTAGGTCCCGGAGCCTGGTGGTGGAGCGAAGTAGGCAGGGGGCGCCCCGGTCATCAGAGCCTGCTGCGGAGGAGCGGGCTGGACAGCGCGTGGTGGAGGACCACGAACCCCACCGGCGGTGGATCCTGGCCACATGTGAATGGAGCCAGTCCAAGGATTGAGGAACGACGGCCACTGCGGTGGAGGAGTGGCAGAGGGGGTGCTGCTTTGCGCACTACCCGGAGATCCACCAGAGCCGCGCCCGCCGCGGCGGCGTCTGCCGCGGGTGTTGCTGAAGACCTGGCCAGCGGCAGTCTGTCCAGCAGCAGCCTGAGGACGAGGAGGCGCAGGTGACGTCGGGGTGGGCGCCTTGGTGGAGGTGGCGGCAGCGACGAGGGCCGAAGGAGGGGCGGAAGGTGTCCCCATGTTGAGCTCAGCCAACCGGAGGTCAGCACGGACGTCGGCGAAGGGTGGGAACGGCTTCTGGCGGGTGATGAGTTGGGACATGAACTGAAACCGTTCATTGAGTCCCCGCAGAACGTTGAGCACCAAAGTACGGTCCAGGACAGGCTCGCCGAGATCGGCCAGGGCATCTGCCATGCTTTTCATTTTGCGGCAGTAGTCGTCGACGGAGAGGGCACCTTGACAGAGGGTGCGAAACTCGGAGTCGAGGAGCATGGCGTGAGATTCGCGGTTGTTGAGGAACTGTTGCTCAAGTCCGAGCCAGGCCTCCCGGGCAGTAGGGGCGTCGTGCTCGTGGATGACGTCCAGGAGGTCGGCGGAGATGGTGTTGAAGATCCAGGACAGGACGACACAGTCCATGCGTGACCATGCCGGATCGTAGGGGCGGGGAACGTTGCTGAGGACGTGCTCCTTCAACGCGAAGCGGCCGAGGATGAGGAGAACATAGCCACGCCACTTGGAGTAGTTGGAGGCTTGAAGATCAAGAACGATAGGAATTAAGTTCTTGATGTTCTGGACTGCAGCCGCCTGACTGTGGAGGCGGGCGACGGCCTCGGTTTCAGAGGAAGCAGAGTAGGTGTCCTCGGCGTCGTCGTCGTCGTCCGGGAACTCGGTGCGGACTCGAGTCCTGAGGGCCGCGGCTTGCTGCTCCAGGGCGTCAGCCGCCGCGCGCTCCTTGTCCAGGGCGTCGGCGGCAGCGCGGACGCGCTCCTGGGCGTCAGCGGCGGATTTGAGGATGGTGGCCGCCTCCTCGAGCTGCTGGCTGCGCTCGGAGTTGGTTGAGCGCAAGGAGGAGGCCTCGTCTTCCAGGCGCTTGGCCGCCGAGAGGGCTTCATCGCGGAGCTTTGCCGCAGTAGCCGCGGTAGAGGAGCCAGCGGCAGCCATGGGCGCGCGCAGTGGCAGCAGGGGGCGCGCGGGCGTGAGAGGAGAAGAATCGCACAGCGGCGGCAAGACGCGCGCGCGAGGAGGGAAGGGAGCGGAAGCGGATGGATCGGGATTAGTCTGATACCATGATAGATAATAGCCTAACAGGCTTAGATTACTTAGAGATGGAGATTACAGGAGGATTACATATATAGAGAGGAGGAGGATGGCCCAAGGGGTCAGCCGAGTCCCCAAGAGTCAAACCGAGACCCAAGGGGCCAGCTGGGTATTAACCTGGCACAGGAAGCTAGATTACACAAGTAACTAGGTGATTACACTAAATAGCAATTAATTCTAACACTCAGAAACCTTGAAATGCTGCTATATTGATATAATCTTCATCTCTAAATTTTTTTTATGTTTATATAATAGGGACCAGAAGTGACTCTGAAAACTTTGATGAAACTCCTAGTGCAGTCATCGAAGAACTCAGTGAGGCTGTGTCTGCAGCTGTGAGATTACTCACAAAGCTATTGAACTTTGATCTTTTCATCCGCAGCATAAACAGTGAAAAAATCACTTCTCTGCTAAGAAGAATGCTCAAGTCAAGTTTCCCCCTTCAGTCAAAGGATTGTCTTGCAGCATGCCTCATTAAGCTAGAATCCAGAGCTGGCTTATCAGGAGATCATGGTGTCAGTAATATAGATATGGAGATAACTATCTATCAGACTATTCCAAGGCTAGTTGAGCAAATGATGACCTCACTTTCTTTTGAAAATAAGAGAAGTGCTGTAATAGAGCTCAATAAGATAATATCTGGTGGTGTGCTGGAATATGCAAGAGCATTGGCTGATGCTGGAGGGATATTTCCACTTGTCAAAATGCTTGAGGAGGGGGATGGAGATGCACTGGAAGCTATCTTAGCTATCTTGTATAATCTGAGCATGGATCCAGAGAATCACCCAGCAGTAATTGCTGCTGGAGCAGTGCCCCTGTTGAAGCGGATTGTTCTTACGGAAGGCCCACAATGGAGTAGTGCTATTCAGTTGTTGAGAACATTGCCTGTATGACATTGCTGAAGAAAATGACCATTCATCGTCGACAAACATTTTAACTGCACTTAGTGCTTGCACAGGTACATTGTTAAGATCTTCTTCAGTGTCGACACGATCAGTTTGTTCCAAATGCCTCTGCAATTGCGATACTTTGATGTTGTTAAACACCTAGTCATTGTATCACTTTTGCATGGATACCTTCTCTCTTAATATTACAATGGTAGATTTCTCCATAATTGGAGTACATATTTGGATAATGATGCAAGGTTTATTGCCTTTCTTGGATGTTTAGGAGACAGAGAATTGACGCAAAATAAAATTGAATTAGTACTCACAGGACTACTAGCTGCTTTAGGCGCCGTTCGGTTAGCCCCATTCCGGGCCATTCCTGGCCGGAACCCTTCCCATGTTATTTAAATTATTGAAGAAAATGGCGGCCAGGAATGGTTCCCCAACAGGCCTTAGGAATTTCTGGAATAAATAAAAAAAAGTGAAGTCAAAATCGTTTAGCTTATTATCTTAAATTCAGTTGCACATTGCTGAATTTAGCATATATGCAACTAAGGATTGCCAATCAGAACACACATGGATAGAACTTGTGAAAGTTCTAAGAAAAGAATTTATTTTCTGGTTCTCCTTGATGACGATCAGAGCATAGGGAGGCATACTATTATCTTCAAGGAAACCTTTGCTGGATATATAGGTATTGTTGACTGAAGAACCCGATGCAGAAAATGTCTTTGAAAAAGTTTGGATTGTTTTATCCTGTTGCTGAATACAACACTAACTATAATGAGATCCTTTACTAAACATGACTTTCTTTTGCAGCTAATTTCTTAGATTGAGGTCGCGGCTGAACCAAGCTCCAGGCCTCCAGCTCCCTATCATCATCAAAATTTGAATTTATGACCTGGAACTGGAAGAAAGTATCAGCAAGGACATTTCCTCCGAAGTAGCAATATACGCTGCCCTTTTGGCTATAGTTGAGAAGCACACCGGGGCCTGATATATGTGTCTTTTTGCTCACATGCGATGGCAATAGCTAGTATCATGAGCTATTTTGGACACTGGCAGTTTGCTGGTTCACCTGGAAAGTTCAAACTGTAGCTTGTTAATTGTCATGTTTCGACGCTAGATGACTTTACTCTGTAAAAAATGGGGATCCTTTTTGTGTAACCTAGAGCTTTAACTACTGAACTATCCTGACTAGGGCAACAAAATTGCAGTGAGCTGATTGCTTGGGGACTTGAGCTACCATAATCATAGTCACTGCAGGTGATCTTGCGATCTTGCGATCGACGTGTACCCAGCTCACATGGATCTTGGCTATGGATGCAAGCGGGCTTGTAGACAGATATGCTTTGTATGTCCATGCGTCTGTCTTGATCGGAGTGCCGGATGTACTGCATGCTGGATGTCTAGTTCGGATTTCATGTTTATGATGATATGATGAGGAGGAATATATAATGCAATGTGGATTCCAATGAAATGTTGAGGCAAGATGCTACAGTTTCCCAGACCACCATCGATCGGTATGAAAAGCTCTAGAGGTCGTGGGCGCACCTGACAAGTGCTCTTGTGGCCATAGATTGAATATCGTGGGAGCGTTTGCTCATATAAATAAAGCTTTCTTAGGCCTGTTCGCCTGTTCGCTCGAACTACTTTAACAGTATTTTTCAGTGAACGAACAGTGTTTTTCTCTCACAACAAATCAGCATAAGTCAAATTTCAGCAAATTCTCCAACCCAAACGACAAATCATGCCGAGAGGAAAGCTAACTTTCCAGGAGCTGAACCAAAAAAAAAAAGGAGCGACGACCCTGAGTGATAACTGACAGGTCGAGGACCGAGCGTAGCTCGGTTAGCTTGCTCGCCAGGTGTGCCAGAGGCCGGGCGTGAGTTCGATCCCCGAGATCGACACTCGCGTGCCTCACAGGGTTTTTCCCCAATAATAACTTTGCAGGTCCTGTGTATCTACAGCCTCACCTGTGGATGCACCATAATGGTCAGAGTGTATCACGTGCGAAGTCTGGAAAACTTTAGATATCTCTCAACCACGTGCAGCCTCTTCGTGTAGATATAGGTTTAGCTTGCGTACTAGGGTATGTATGTGAGTTTGTGCGCGTGTGGTGATGTGAATTGGTGCGTGAGTTCAGATACTACAATTTGTACTCGAAGGCATACAAAAAACTGACAGGTCCCTGACGACCTCATACCGTGCCGGTGAGCGGTGAACCAGACAACCAGTGGGCGCAGGCTTTGCAGAGGTCGGGCCGGACGACCACGACGGCTGCCTGATTGGGAATTTGGATGCATCTCAAACGAACGCCCTGCTGAGCATCTGGACTCGTCGGAGATTGGGAATTTGGATGCATCTCAAACGAACGCCCTCTTGAGCATCTGGACTCGTCTCGTCCGACGCGTGTGGTTTGGACTTTGGAGAGACAATTCATCCCGCATGGACTCGTCGAAGAGGACGACTTAGCCAGCCAGCCAGGGAGTACAGCAACTGTTGCTCTGGGAACACTGAACACGTCTCGGCTAGGCTCAGATGATTCCCAACAGCTTCGTGACCCAAACCAAACACATTTATATCAGTGTATGTAAACCTTCAACATTGTGTATAGCATGCTGTTGTGTTTCGAACGTGTTAGCGTCTCGTCCATCTGAAATTTCATTCCCGCAAACCGCAGACGTAATGCCTCGCCGCTTTAGGCGCCTGGGCCTAGCCATTAGCGCAGTGGCAGTGCAGCGTTAACACTAGCGACTCGTGCATGCGCCATGAGTGCGACACAACACATCTAGGCAGAACGCAGTCCGCACCTGAGTTGGGCGCAGAAGGAACCATGGTCCGCCGAACGAACCATGGTCCATGGATATGCATACCTTAGCAGTCGAACTTAGCTTTCTCCAGAAACAAAGAAGTGAGACTACCGACAGAAACTTTCTGTACCCATTTTTATTTTGTTTTAACGTGTTCAAATACTAAAACGAAGGCAAGAGAATAATACTACATACTGCAATGTTAAACTCTGAGGCTGCTGCAGAGCAACTGGGGATCTCAAGTGCCATGACTGAAAGTGCTATATCACTTTGCCTGAAAGAGCCATGACATTGAAGTTGTTTGACTGGGAATACAAGGCAAGTCTTGCTTTTATAACTTTTGCACCATCCTGCACACAAAGATTCAAAACCATAAGCATCATCCACATTTGCTTATACTAAAAACAAGGAACTCTTGGTGTCACGACCAAAATCCCCTTTAAGCTAATGCAACGAGCTAAAAAAAATTCTTTTCCAACTAAATGTCAGCTCTCTGGCGTTTACAAGGTGGGAGGGTGGCACCCTCCCACCAAGGAAGCAAGTGCTTATTCCCCACATCAAAAAATTATCATGCTTATAAGGTATAAATTTGCAGGCATAGTCTTTCCATATCATAATCCTAGAACTCAATGAATGCTGAGTAGCCTATGAAAAGAAATAACATGGTTGTTTCAAAAAAAAAATAACATGGGTAGATCAATTTACCTGCAACAAGGTAGCAGGAGTGGAAGGCCCATGGGGTATTGGCTGTGATGTCCCCCCATCAAGCTCATAAAGTTCTCCTGGATAAAAAATGTAAATAGTTACGAGAAGCTACTGATAGACTAATTGTTGAGGATTTACAGGAAAATCCAACTATGGTGTATTAGTGGACAATGGTATGTTACATACCATCGACGCAAGAGAAACAAATGTAATGTTCAATTACTCCATCCTTGGCCTGCATAGTAAAATGGGATCCATCAGCTTCAGATGGTAATCAAAGATAACATAAGCTCAGACAATAGTTTCAGTTAATTGACTTGATTCAGTTCTTTAATAACTACTGTTACAACTGATTGTGAATTGACATGTCCAGTTCTCACTTACAATGACACATGATCAACAAAATTCGACATAAATCTCAGATATTCAGGCAGGCAAATGCAATGGCAAGAGTAAAGGGGCATATACTACTAGCAGACAGATTTCAAACTGGCCAGGAACCTGTAACTCTAGCTGGTCAGCAAACTGTTCTTTTCTAGATGAGTAAACAAGTGTTAGCAGTCAGTTCTCAGATACTGATAACTGGAAACCACTTTGATTCTGTGAAGCACTGACAACAAAAATTATAAGAATAACCTGCATACATTTCATCAAAAGAATAACACCCATAAATCTCAAGCAAATATTAATGTACTAGGCACATGCAATAATAACCTCTGTGTCACCAGCAGTAGCTGCAATGGAATGAGCATTCTCCATTTCCTCGTCCTCCTCAAGAAATGTAGCACGCTGAAAATATCACCCACTTAATATGTTAGTTCAGCATATGAAGGAAGCCAACAATATGAAAGCATTCGAATTGCAACACATCGATCGCTAACCTGGCTAGGATCCATGTCAGCAGTTCGTTTATAAAATCTATCGAAATATGACCCCTCAGCTGCAAAGAAAAAAGGTTAATAAGATCTCACAAGTGAAAGATAGATAAAAAAAAAAGGGAGTACCTAGTGCAGAGAGCTCCCGCTCTGTGCGGGGTCTGGGGAAGGGTGTCAGTGGCAAGCCTTACCGCTTGTGCAATGCGAGGAGACCACGACTCGAACCCGGGACCTTCCGGTCACAGGCGGTAAGACTCTACCGCTTGCACCAGGCCCGCCCTTCCAAGTGAAAGATAGATAGACTTTTTTTTTTTTTAGGAACCATATGAAATTCTCAGAGAATCATGCAGATTATTTTTTGGTTTTTAGATAATGAAAATTACTGTTGGTTACAAAATGGGCTGAAAGTTGCTATGTCTTTCACAGGCAGACTGAAAATAGAGTAGTGTGGATTGCCTAGGGTAATTAATATTAACATATGTTTTCAGTTTCATCAAAAGGCATCAAAATACCGTAGATGGAAAGTTAATTAAGAGCTCAAAAGTACTGAGAGGAAAACAAAAGAAAGTACCAAGCTTGATTCTGGAAGTAGCATTCCCCAGTGCATGAATAATACCAACTGTGCCACAGGCGTTCCCAACAGTTTGTTTTGTGAAATATACATTCTTGCTGGGCTCCTGCATAATTTAGTTTCAGGACTAAGGATAAATATACACTCTTGACAGTTATAGTACCATAAGTCCAGTAACAACCTTTGATTTAATTCGATGCTATATAAAGTTGAACTGAGCTTTACATGTTGAAAAGATACAAATTATCAACATAATTGAAACCTTTGATTTATGTGCTAATAATGCATCACTTGCGAGACGGTGCACTATATCTATAATAACATCAGATCTCTTGATACTTCAAATCAGCGATTGATAGGAATCAACTATCACTTGAAGATAAAATTAGCATGCTTACTTAAAGAAAGAGACAGTAGGTTTTATAAAATCAAACCTGAAGCTGCTTATATTTGAAGAATATAATATATAATGTAAGTGACCTATTCATAATGTGACTTTGAAAAAATAACTAGGGGTTTGCTAGATCTAATGCAGTAATGTTCACCAACAAACTGAATTAGCAAAATTACACAAACATTTTCCAATCTATAAGTTTGAAAAAATGACTGCATAAGTTTCACTGCATCTACAATGAGAAGTAACGATGTATATCTATTCAATGAACAGATTGCTTTGGAACAATACTAGCAAGCAACCCGACTTCAGTCTCACCTTGGTCTCCACCGACGAGGTAGCTGAAGCTTGGGATTCCTTGATCCGGTCCTGCCCAACAAAACGGGGTAAAATATGTGCTCATCCCACAAAGCGGTTCAAGCAACCGAACCAAAGAATGTAGGGCGCCAGCCATAAATCGAGAATCACCTGAGGGTAGAGAAGTATGACTGCGAGCACCGGCTGGGGCACCATGGCGAGCAACTCGTCATCGAGGCCGTACACGTCGCAGAACCCCACGTCCTCGGGGACCCCCAGCCCCCACATGAACTACACCGATCGTGCAGGAAATAAAGGGCGCCGTGAGCGAGGAAGACCAAGGGGCCGAGTCGGAACGAGCCCTGAAGTATGAAAACTCAGAACACAGATGAGGGGATTCGTGTACCTGGTTCATGACGTCGGGATTGGCCTCGAGGGGAAGCCACCGCTTCACCATGGCGACTGCCGCGCCGGAGGAAAGGAAGGCGGAGCTATCGGCGTCCGGTGGAGGAGAAGGTGATGGCGGCGGCGATTTTGCGAGGCTGCGTCCTATGTTTCTGCGGTGCGGCGAATCGGGCGTTTTTGTTGGCGTATTTGGCTCTGGCCCTCTATACGCTTCGGTTGCTAGTTTATTCCAAGGTTAGTTGGCTTAAATTTTTAAACTTGTTATTATTCATCTCGTGATTTCCAACTAAATTTGTTATTATTTGGTTTTTTAATTTAATGCTATTTTATTATATAGAGAGAGAAAAAACTTGGAATTTTGAGGGTTCTAAAAGAGGCCTCGTTGCTCGTTTATTCCAAGGTCTAAGGTTAATTAAGCGAAATTTTTTAAAATGTATTATAGTACTTTTGTTTTATTTATATTTATTTTATTATAGTCTAATTAGGTTTAAAAGATTCGTCTAAATGAATTTTGTCTAAATTAATGAGTTTTATTTTTTATTTATATTTAATGCTTCAATCTTGAAAATTTGATTTTGTAAAAAAAATTTTGCAAATTTTGAGAACTAAACATGCACCAATTTCCAAATTCACTTTAGTCCCTCGAAATGTGCGCAAACAATAACTTAGGGCATGTTTGATGAGTTTTGGATTCTTAAAAACCAGTTTTTGCTTCTAATTTCTAAAATTTGGATTCTGAGTAAAAACTGATATGTGCCCTGTTCACTTGACTGATAAGCTATGTCTAAAAGTAATGTTGGCTGATTTGTTGTGAGAGAAAAATAATGTTCGTTGGTTAAAAAAATACGACTTATAAGTCAAGGGAACAAGGCTATGGGTGTTTAATTCCCTAGTTGTTAAGAATGTAACTTCATTTATTGCTCGTAAAAATTGGGTATCAACAGCTTCATAATTTATAAGAATCTGACAAAAACTAACAGCAAAAACTGTCTGGATTCCACCCAGTTTTTTCCCATTTTTAAGAATCAGTTTTTAGAAAAAAAAAACTGGAGGAATCCAGACATAGCCTTAGACTTTCGGTTATAGTATATTTTATTTTATAAAAAAATCAAATTTTTGGTTACTGATGAATGAATATTTCGAATTTTGCCACGCTATGAAGTTCAAATGATAGCGTCCGATCCGATGTATACGGAGTTATTATAGAGGCGTTGTTCCTCGATCCTCATCACTTGCGACACGTAAGGTAGTATTTGGTTGGTGGCATGGGGTGGGATGGGAGTGGGATGATCCTACTTTGGAGCTGTTTGGTTGAGAGGTGAGGCCGTCCTACCTTCGTCCTACCTGGAAATATTATCAGTTGATGTCGTGACTCCTGTACCTGTTTTTTGGACAGACAGAGTCGTCCTCCCAGGGATGAGCCACGATGGGGAAGACAAGCGCGGGCAGCGAGAGGTGGCGCATGTGGGTGAGCTCCCAAGACACCATGCCATGCCATGGTTCATCTCTGCCACCACAAACCATGCCGCTGCCAGCGAGAAGAAGAGGCGGCGCGGCGTAGGGCCTTGCCGGAGGGGGGAGGAGGAGGAAGAGTGAGCGAGGTTCAAGTCCACACACAAGCCAACCTCGGCCTTGCCACGGGCGAGATCCGGCCTTGTCTTGCAGTGGGCCGAGCTTCATGGTGGAGGAAGCGCTTCGATGGCTCATTGTCGAGCTCAGGGCGGGAGGCCCATGGCAGTGGGCGGCCGAGCTCAGGGCGGAGGACGGAAGAGGCACGGGGCGGGCGACCAGCTGGCCTCGCCGCGCGGAGGAGTCACCAGGCAGGCCACGGCCGTGCTTGTCGGGGAAGAAACGAGGGGCGACGCGCGACCAAGGTATGGAGCAGGCGTCGGGAGGAAGAGATAAGGAGAGAGAGAGAGGAAGAGATAAGGAAAAGAGAAGGAAAAAGATAAAAAAAACTTATATATGGGTCCCACTTATCTAAACACAAAATAGGTCGATCCCATCCCTCGTCGACCAAAGAGAAAATGAAGTCATCCCGTCCCCGTTCCGTCTCATAAATCAGAGACAGGACCGTGCCACTCCACCTATACTCCCAAGCAAATGCTACGTAAGTCTCCAATGCCGGGCAGCACGCGATGATTCCTCCATGGCGTGGCGTCTTTCACTTTTCAGCGAAGTTTATTACCACGTCGCCGGCGGCAATCGATCCACCCTGTTGCCCTGTGCCTGCTCTTTCTGTTGCTTTCTGCCGCTGCGGTGATCGCCCGTGGTGGATGACAATGACATCTCGCGTGATCGGCTCATCAATGCCATCGGTGGGCGAGGAAAGCGGCAGCACCTGCTCGCGACGCCATCAGCACAGCTCGGCCGACCACGCCACACCGCTCCTTCCCAGAGCACCAAACGTCGTCTGGTCCTGCACGTGTGCGCCCCAGACGAACGAACACAGCGCCATGGAACACGGGCAAGAGCAAGCGTATCGCGGCGGCGAGCTCGCGCGAAGCGGGCGCACAGCACCGGTCCTGGGGCACCTGGTCCCGGACTCATCAAGAGTCCAAGGCAACGGGTGCATTGCATAAACGAGGAAAGTGCCTTGTCATCTGTTTGATCATGAGAATTTTTTTGCCACACTCACTGCTTTCAGGTCTGCTGTAATACATACTCTATACCTAGTTCCCTAAAGAAACTCGAAATGTGCTAAAGCAGGCAAGTGGCAAACAGATGGCAGATCTATCTAATTTTGGTCGATTCAGATCTGAGAATTTTGCATCGACGGTGAGACACAAAGCACCACATCGAATCACACAACATCAAACTGACCATACACGGACAGTATGCAAGCAATAGGCTGCCACTGGGCACTATATACTCTAAAAGAACTCAAAGTCGAGGTATTTCCCGCCGGACTTCACGTCTGCTCCGACTATCCTCTTGTTGTTGCTCCCGATCGCCTCCGCCACTCCGTACCTCACAGGCAGCTCGGCCTCGACAGGCCTTGGGACCTCGGGAGGAGTGCTGCAGCGGATGAGAGCCCAGTTCACGCCCTCGAAGAAGGGGTGCTGCTTTATCTCCGTCGCTCCCCGCTTCACACCGAGGCGGCTCTGCGGTTCCTTGACCAGGAGCCCCCTGATGAGATCTCTGCTTGAGTAGCTCGTGGACGGCGACTCTGGGAATTTTAGTTGCTGACCGACCACGTTGAAGAGAGTGGCGCGGTTCCCTGACCCCTTGAATGGGGTTTTGCCGTACAGCAGCTCATGCAGGAAGATGCCGAAGGTCCACCAGTCGACGGCGCTTCCATGCCCTTCACCTTTGATGATTTCAGGGGCCAAGTATTCATGAGTCCCCACGAATGACATCGATCGAGCTGATGTTGGCTCGGCAACAAGCTCAGGCAGGGTGCCGGCATTCTGTCCTAGCTCAGACCTTGTCTTTCTAGTCTTCTTCTTGCTCTTCTGACCGAAGAATTTGGGGAGGAAGCACGCAGGCTGAATACAAGCTGAAGTAGGTTCCATGCAAGCAGGCTGTACACAGAAAGAACCACCTGCTCTTCTGGGATCAGAATCGAAAGCTGATGTTCTGATGAGTGTAGGTGAGACTGCACATCTCAGCGAGAGGTCAAAATCTGAAAGCATTATGTGCCCATCATCGCGCACAAGAACATTTTCTGGTTTCAGATCTCTGTAGACGACTCCCAGCATGTGTAGATACTCCAGAGCTAGAAGTACTTCTGCGGCATAAAACCTGCACAGAATCAGGGCACACCATGTTACTGCTTGCGATTACTAGAAGGTATAGGATACTCTGTATGCCTAACTACTGTTTGTTGAATTATGAAAACAAAGCTATATCTAACATGGTCTAATCTTTCTCTTACTCGATGCTACTCATCACATGGGCCCTGCTGTATAAATTTTACTCTACTAACGCAGGAAACATTTTTAGGATACCTAACCACATGCACTTTGTTCTCTACACATCACTCATAAAAGCTATTAGACTCTATTCGGGAATTTGTAGAGAGCATATCTGAACAAAGTTAGATTCTTCACAAAAAGGCCAATAAAACTAGGATGGTTAGATTCTCCATAAAAGGCCCAATAAACTAGGATAGTAACATTAGATCACCTTGTCAATTAAACTAACAAGATTCCCAAATGTGAATAGAATTTTCTTTCTGCAGGTGAATCTGAATATAATATGATAATAGGCACCCAGTCATATGGGAAATACGACTTGAGAAGTCATCTACTCTACTCCAAATAAATTATATTTCTCTGAAGGATAACAGTGTTCAATATAGATTACCTTGCAGCATACTCAGAGAAATGCTTTCCTGGCTGTCTCTGACGCAAAGTATGCAGATCGCCACCCGGACAAAATTCCATCACCAAACAAGAGAACCTATCGGTTTCAAAATGTGTATACAACGTTGGGAGGAATGGGTGGTCGAGAAGCTGTAGAATCTCCCTTTCAGTTTGAGCCCTATTTAACTTCTTCCTACTTGCCAAGGATGCCTTGTCCATTACCTTCATTGCAAAGTAGCACCGAGTTCCACTTAATTCTGAGAGGTAAACACTGCCAATGTCACCACAACCAAGACGCTTTAGTAGTCTAAAATGGCTCATTCCAAGCACACTATCACGAGTTCGTACAGCATGAATTGCCTTCCATCTAGGATCATTCCCCTTGTGAGGCTTGCTGGCACCTCCAGTAATGTGGCTCCAGCTGCTGTCATCACTAACACCACTGCTATCACTTGCTCGACTCATGCTAGTTTTTGCACTTTCTAGTAAATCACCTCGAACACCCTTTACACTCTCACAGTTCCTCTCCACACTGAGCATTGCTTCACCAGCTATGGCTTTGCTTTTATATGTGCTCGCACAGCTGTGGAGGGTGCTCATGGCAGTGACCACACCCATGCTGTCAATGCTACTGTGAGGGCTAACATTGCCACTGGGAGGGAGTGAAGCGTCCCAGACGCACTCCTTCTCCTCCGAGTCCTGAGGCAAAGAGGTAGCCTGAGACGAGCGTGCTGTGGCGACTGAT